AGTAAGGGCACCAGAAATGAACAGCATAATCGAGGTGCGGCCTGACTAGCGCAAGATATAGTTGCAATAAGACCTCTGCACTCTTATTACTTACACTTCTAGATATAAAACCCAATACTCTGTTTGCCTTATTTCGAACATTAACGCACTGTTTTCTAGGCTGTAGGTCCGGACTTACAATTACCCATAAGTCTCTTTCACAAGCCCACTTCTCTAGGTTGATGTTGTTAAGGCTGTATACATTGACAGTATTTGTTCTTCCAATATTAGGTACGCTGCACTTGCTGGTGTTGAATTTCATTTACCATTTTCTGACCACTCCTGCAGTTTATTTAAATCCTCCTGTAGTGTATTTGCATCCTACCCTGAATTACTCTTCCTCCCTATTTTGGTGTCATCCGCAAACCTGCTTATGTCACTGCTGATCCCAGAATCTAGATCGTTTATGTAGATTATGAGCAGGAGTGGGCCCAGTACTGACCCTTGGGGAACCCCACTGGTTACACAGCCCCACTCACATTTAACACCATCTATACTGACCTCAATCGGTGAGCCATGATTTTATCCAATTTAAAACATTCCCCTCGATACCATGAGCCTTAACTTTTCTCAGAAGCCTCTGATACGGTACTCTGCCAAACGCTTTGCTAAAGTCTAAGTAAATAACATCGTAAATTTTTCCATTATCTACTACCTCGAAGACTTTCCTAAAAAACGTCAGCACATTTGTTAGACAAGATTTACCCTTCGTAAACCCATGTTGAGAGTCGTAGATTAATTTGCTTTTCTCTAAATGCGATCGGATGCTATATGCGATAATTTATTGAAGAAATTTCCCACTACTGACGTCAGACTGATCGGCCGGTAATTTGAAGCTGATGCTCTGTCTCCCTTTTTGAATATGGGTAATACATTTGCCTGTTTCCACAAGTCTGGCACAACTCCCGTGTCTAATAAATTTGTAAATAAGTTTACGAGGGGTCCGCTAATCTGTTCCCTACACTCTTTCAAGACTTGAGGGAAAATTTCATCGGGCCTTGGGGATTTCGTGGTCTTTAATTTATTTATCTTCTTAAGAACATCTTATTTTCTGATAGTGATATTCTTTAATTTCTCTTCTTCATTTCCCCTAAATATCAGTTCCACCTCTGGAATTTCCTCGTGAATTTCTTATGTGAAAACTAATAAGAAGTAGCTGTTTAATGCTTTGCTCATTTCCTCACTATCATCAATCACTTCTCCTCCCTCTCTCTGACTTTAAAGGTCCCACTTTGTCTTGACCTTTGTCCTATATACCTGGAAAAATCCCTTGGGATTCGCCTTGGATTCTCTTGCTATCCAGATTTTGTAGTCCCCCTTTGCCTTCCTTACATTTTTCTTAACATTCCTACATAGTTCATTATACCTATTTCTGAGCTGCTCCTCCCCTCCCTTTAATTTCTTATATATTCCTTTCTTTATTCCTATGTCATGTTTAAGTTTCTTGGTCATCCACCTTGGCTCATTCTTATTTGACCTAATTTTTCTGTGTGGTATATTTTGTTCCTGTGCTTTACGTAGTATACTAGTGAATATATTATAGTCATGATCACTGGTTGTATCTCCCCGTTGGTACCTTCTTAGCATCTGGCAACCCTGCTCAATGCCCACCAAGCATATTCAAGCTTTATCATTATTTATATTACCTGTTCTCTTGAAGAGGTTAATCTGCTACTTCTTAGTGCGTCATCCTTAGGATATGTATGGAAGTGTATATTTCTCTCTCGCTTGAACCAATAATTACACCCAAATACTGCACAATGAACGAGTTGACGGTCGGAATTTTTTGCAAGATGGCAGGTCAATGGGTAAAGAAAACGCTTAAATTCACTTTGGTAATGTTTTTTTTTTAAATTAGGCCAAAAAGTGCAAAAGATTAAGTGTTAAAGTTGCTAAAATGTCACGTGACTAAGAAAAGCTCCGTGATTGGTTGTGACGTCACTGGTTGGCGCGAGCCATCCAGCCAGCTGTGGTGTATGTGTTGTTACCAGCAGAAATACAGGACTTGTGGGCATATACTATGTTGATATACACAGGTATACCTTATTTTTAGGTGCCAAAATGATGCAAAAGACCGATAACTCCATCATGGAAGTTTTCATCACTGTTCTCTATTTCATGTCTGGAAAATGTAAGTTTTCGTCACTGATGTCTATATTTAATGTTGTGGAAGGACTAGGGACGACCATGGCCAGGGAATGGGCTTGAGATGATCGGGTGACAGATATAATTTAACGTGCTTCATAGCTGGATGGCCGAGTTCTTGATAATACTCTATAATCATAAACACGTCTACTTTTGGTAAATTTCTTTCATCTGCCTTGATGAACCCTGGAAGTATTTGTCCAACCTTCTCGGCTGATCGGCGCTGTAAATAAATTGTATTAGCTAATTAATTGTGTTTTACTGTGCAACACAGTAATGCTATTTTGAATATATAAATATTACTGAGCACATTAACTAATTCAACGGATATTAGCTGCCATTACTATTAATTTCATAGTATCAACATTCCAAACCATATTGTTATTATTTTGTTTTCGTCATCAGGGGAACCTTAAGATTCCAACTATGGGATTAAGTACTTTAAACGATAAGACAAATTATCTCTATGGGATTTCTGTAGCAATTTTTTTTCGATAGCATAAGGAAATATAGGTCATATGTTAGGTTAGGTTATGATGAGTTGTAAGGTTACATAAGAACATAAGAATGTTGGAAACGGCAGCGGGCCTATTGGCCCATACTGGGCAGTCCCATTTACACCCAACTCCTATTGCTCATATATGCATCCAACCTATGTTTGAAGCTATCCAGCGTATTCGAGTTAATGATGATATTTGGTAACTTGTTCCACTCGTCCAGTACTCTATTTCCAAACCAAAGTTTACCTATTTCGCGCCTAAATCTGAATTTGTCTAATTTAAAACCATTGTTACGAGTTCTCTCCTGGTTGGATAGTTTGAGTACCTTTGTTCTGTCCCCTTTGTTTTGCCCTGACTTCCATTTATACACCTCTATCAAATCGCACCTCACTCTACGTCTCTCGAGGGAGTGCAAATTAAGATGTTTTAACCTGTTCTCTAAATTCTTTCCAAGGATTCTATATCCATTCTGTAATACGGTGACCAGAATTGAACGGCGTAATCGAAGTGAGGTCTCACAAGCGCAAGATATAGTTAGGATGACCTCGCTAGTCTTGTAACTGACACTCATTTGTGTGAACCCAAGTACTTTATTAGCCTTGTTTCGAGCAAATACACATTGTTCTATAGACCTTGCCCCTTGTGGGACACTGAGGATGAACGTCTGCTGATGACGGGGGTAGACAGTCGAGTGTGTGTGTGTGTGTGTATGTGTAATGAGTGTGGCCAGTATTCTCGCCTCACAAGCGAGCGGACCGGGTTCGATCCCGGGCAGGGTGAAACTATGGGCATATTTCTTTACGCCATTTGCCTCTGTCTACCCAGCAGTAATTGGAGACCTGGATGTTAATCGATTTGCGGATCGTGTTCCGAGGTAATGGTTAGCCATTGCAGTTGGCGAGTTGTCCGGTCTTCTCGAACACTGGGTCATGCAGTTCGTTAACTCAGGGTGTGATTGTTGTGTTGACGACAGCTTCTACACCTTAAACAAGTTCACTCTTAGGTGGCCCTAGAGCCGGCCATTATTTATAATTTATGATCGTCACCAGAGTGTATAAGTGTCTATTACTGGATTGTTCTCCTTCATATATTTATTTGGTTAAAAAATAAAGCTCGAAAACGTAAACGAATTAATTGTACTATACTATGCGGGAGTGAACCCATCTCAACTGTAACTTGGAGTAACTCTTGACTCTTGTTTGTCTGGTGATGATATAGTTTAAAAAAGTAATGCCAAACTAAAATCCCTCTATAGAAATGGTAAATACCTCTCAGCTCATGCCCGTAAGACCCATTGTTTGACTCTTATAAAATGTCACTTGGACTATTCCTGCTCGCCATGATGCTCTGCGATAACACAGAAGCTAAAATTCAAGCGACAAATTATTCAAAACAAGTCGGTGAGGTTCATTCTTGACAGGAAAGCAAGGGATCACGTCGTTCACGAAGTTCTTCAGTCACTGAACATGTTAAGTGTAACGCATAGAGTGAAGTAACTGAAGCTGAATCACGCTAACAGAATTTTCAATGGATTATGCCCAGAGTACCTAACAATAAACTTTGCAGGTGTTAGAGATATGAACCGGCAGGGCACTAGAGGGAGTGAATATAATTTTTGGTACCTGGTGTCCTCGGTCAAGCGAAAAACAGTTTCTTCTTTGCTGTTATAACTGACGGGAGCAAGTTACCACACCACATCAAAAGCAGTTACGGTATTGAACAATTCAAAGATAAAACAAAGAAATGCATAATAAATGAAGCTAAGGCAAAAGAAGAGAGTGAGTTTCTATATCATTAACCACAGACTGTTGTACTGCGGTAGATACCTGCTAGCCAGATAGTCGAAGCACAATGTAATGCTTGTTGAACGTTTCCAAATCACTTTCGCTAATACTCCTGTAGATATACTATTACTGATTGGAGACCAAGCGTAAGCAAAAGACCTTCCTGGAAATAAGCACCTGATATCTTTGTCGACTATCCTTGGTTAAGTTTACGGGCACTGTCTCGGCACAGAGGAAACAGTATACTCACAAGGCCTACGTGCACCGTCTGCCTACATGATCTGTATATATGGTGCATTGTACAGTGTAACCTTATAGCTCATAAACATGGTTATCCTATTGTAAATGTGTATGAAAACCTTACCAAATTATTATCATTATTTTATTACTTTTTTCTGTCCTCCAGCATCCTGTTTTTATCAACTTGTTTAACTGTTGGTGTTTTAGTATTTTGTTCTTAACTCTCGAGTTCTGGTTAGAGATGTGGCATTGACGTGAATAAAACGAGAATGGTGACTTTGGGTCATTACAGGACAGTGATATTCGAGTTGACTTGAGGAACCCAGTGTACGGAGACCAGCCATACACGGTGCAGCCTGGCGGATGTGGTGAACCGGGAAGGTACATGCACCTCACCCCTCAGTACCTCACTGACAACACTCAAGCTGATTTGTGGGGACCAAGAGGTGAGTAAAGGAAACCCTTCTGAAAACACCTTTTAACCTTTTTGTTAATTTATAAGCTGTACATGTATTTCATCCCATATGACTCTTAGTCAGTGTGCATGACCATATTAAAATATTTGGTTCGGTAAATTTTTACTTTAGGACACGAGACCCTAGGGTTGACCAATATGTTTTTCCAGTGTATTTTGGTGTGTTGTAAACGAATCGAACCTTCATCTTGGTCGGAAATAGATAGTTTTTGCCCCCCCCCCTCCCCCCAACAATAATGGAGGAGATCCTGGAAAATCGGGGTTTTGGGGTGGGGGAGTAAACGAAAACGAGTCATCTAACCTAACCTATTTTAACCTAACCTAACTTTCGGGCGCGACATGTCCGCAAGTACGAGTACAATACCTTAATTAGAAGTGGAAGATATAAGTATTTACAAATATTCCTGTTCATGCTCTTTGCGTACCTCCTTGAACGATTACAGAAACACTGGTTCTTGTCCTTTCTATATTTACAAGGCAATTTACAGTGCGTAGGAGCACGACTAACACCCAACCACGACCACGGCCATTGTCAGACTGGTCATGGAATTTCAAATTCGTTGATTTTCAAATCAGTACCCAGGCTGCTTTGAAAAATTAAAATGTGATTGGAAAAAAATCGCTGGTTGATATCGATACATCATTGCTCACGACTGGATGACGTCAGTCAATATTGCGCATGCGTGATCCATAATTAACTTGATTTCATGCCGATAACATTTCCCAGACGAAGTCTGAAAAGTTACTAAAATCAATTAAATTCAATTGTGTCGCTATTTTCCATTTCCGAATGGTATAAATGGGGTTCAAAATGCTCATAATAGGGAGATCTAAATGATTCAGTAGGTTATAACTTTCGGGCGCGCTATGTCCTAAAGTAAAATAATACCTTTGGTTCTCTCCCTTCAACAAGATTTCCTCTCCTTATTATATTTTCTCCCACCTCCTCTTTCTGTCTCAACTTTGTTCTAAAATTAAGTAAATATATTTTATGTGGCTGCAGGCAAGACGGTGTTGCATGAGTGGGCCAAGTTGCGGTGGGGCGTCTTTGACGAGTTCGGATATCCACACGATCCCACCTTCCCGCTCTTCTACTGGACAAGTGAGATAACAGCGGATGGCGTCAATACCGTCTATACTCCCAACTACTGCGCCAACCAAGACCTAAAAGGGGAGCTCAGGTGAGACGCGCTCTGTCAAGAAACACAATACAAAACCAGGAGTCTAGTCTCAGGAGGGTTGTTGTGTCTACAGTAATTCTTTCAATTATGAATTCTATGTTTCAAGAAACTGTTAATTGTCCAACACAGGCGCGGTTTAAGTTTTTTAGTTTAACAAATTTATTGGCAGAGCTTGTAGTACAGTTCCCTATTCTGAGTAATTCAGTCAGGTCTTGACACTGAGGGTGGTATCACTTCTCACTGCCACGCAGGACAGAGGTTCATACACAAAGAAATACATCATATTCATTAACAGCTATAAATGTATAGAGGTCAGATTCATGTGGGTAATATCACTGTTCACTGCCATGCAGGACAGAGGTTCGTACACAAAGAGATGCATCATATTCATTGACAGTACATATACATACATGTACACACACACACACATATATACACATATACATATATACATACACATATACATGCACATATATATGCACACACGCACACATACATACATATACGTCGGTCAGATTCATGTGGGTAATGTCACTCTTCACTGCCATACAGGACAGAGGTTCGTACACAAAGAATGCATCATATTCATTGACACTATATATAGGTCAGTGGATCACATACATTGGAGTCATATTCTAATTGAAGACTAATCAGTGTGGGCTAGCAAATTTGGGATAAACAGCAAGAATGTCCTCAAGCACACCTGATTTAATGAAGTAATTACATAGTTCAAGATACAATAAGTCAGGTGGCCTGAAGTCTTTGACAGTGTCACATTCAATAATATAGTGTTCAAGTGTATGCTTTAAAGGTTTATCACAAAGTTTACATGCTGAGTGTTCCGGTATGGATACAGCGTTACTAACTTGCCAGATGTGTCTGTATCCTAGCCTAATTCTGGCCACGACTACATCACATTGTCTGGTTCTGTCCTTATGCTGGCCATACCGGTACCTCTTGTCACAAAATTTGTCATATTCACTAATGCTACAACTGTCAGGTCTCTCTGCATTTCTCACTTCTTCTAGATCAGAGTTCATGATTCTGACTTGAATGTTTTTAATTACAGCATTGGACAGGCCAAGGTCACGGTCAACATTTTCTTTCTTATATGCCTCATTGGCCAGTCTATCAGCACGGTCATGATACCTGATTCCATCATGGGACGGAATCCACACAAATTCGATACGAAAGTTGTTCTCATTGGCAGTTATCACATTCCTTTTAATATCACATACAACTTTAGACATAGAGCCTGACGGGCTGTTCATTGATTTCAAAGCACTTTGAGAGTCACAGAATATCACCCCACCTCCATTTTCTTTGAGGTAGTCTGTGGCTAAGTAGATTCCAGTTAGTTCAGTTTGTGTTGTGCTGGCCCAGTTGTTCAGCCTTTGTTTGTTTGACACTATCATCTCTTTTTCTTTATATATTACAATTGCACAGCCTGTTCTACCTGTGTTTGTTTGCACAGAACCATCAGTAAAAACATAACATTCACTTGATTTAATACTCTCTTTGTGTCTGTTAATAGTTTCTAGTGTGACACATCTCACCATATCGGTGTTTAACATTTGCTGACTACCAACAGGAGTGTAATTAATAGGAACTGATATGTCCAGCCAAGGAGGAATGGCATTAATAGGTTCGTCTGGGGTGATTGGGACATTCAGTTTCAAGAGATCTGCAACACTTTTATGAAGCCACGCCCCAACGAGAGTCTTTTGTGGAAGGTTGGCGAGATGGTCGGGATTACTTAGATCGAACATCAACTCAGTTTGAGCTGTAGTTTGAGAACCATTGTTCTTCAAAACTTTGACACAAAACATGGTATTAAGTAGAGCTATCCTCTCAGATAGGGAGGGCAGTCCGAGCTCTTTCCTCATGTTTACAATTCTGGTTGATTTTGGGCAACCTAGGATGATGCGCATGGCTTCATTTTGCGCTACCTCAAGACTGTTGAGTTGTTTAGGCGGAATAGTCACAAGATGGAGAGCATGATAGTCAACTACAGAACGAATGAAGTGAAGATAGAAAGTACGAGCATGGGTGATGTTAATTCCATAGCCCTTGCCAACAAGGGTTCTGAGGGGTTTAATGCGCTGCATTAGTTTGTCACGAAGGTTGCTGACAAAGTTTGCATCATTCACACAAATTCCAAGATATTTATAGGAGCTACATAGTTCCAAGGGCATGCTGTTAATGTTATAGTCAAGAGGCAGAGGGTGAGCAGGACGAGGATTGAGGACCCTCGTCTTGTCAACAGATATTATGAGACCGCATTCAACAGTTCTCCGAGCAAATACATCCAGCAAGGCTTGGAGCCTGAGTCTGGTTTGTGTCATAATGCAGATATCATCAGCATAGCATATTACGGCTTCGTTTGGCTGAACTGGAATGTCAGCAATAAGCTTGTGCATCAGTATATTAAAGAGCATAGGACTTAACACTCCTCCCTGAGTCGTGCCAAGCTCAAATGATCTCATTCTGGTACTTTTAACTCCCCTAAACAGAACACTGGCATACCTGTTGGACAGATAACCCTTTATCCATGTTTGCATAAAAGACCAGCTGAGGCATGCCGTCTAGATTATAATAGATTCATACAATGAATATTCGTCTCCAGTGAATACATAAATATGTAGCTAACCAGTTGATTATTGCTAAAACACACGAACAAAGAACATCCAATATTTATAATTAAATTGCACTGAGAATACATCAGACTAGATGCCAGTTAAGAGGCCAAAGAACAATTGGAAGGTTTTCTCAATAATTCCACAATTCCATAAATTATTTTTATCTGTTAAGTGACGTTAAATGAACGTAAAATATTCGCTATGGTAAAATCTCAGTGCTATTTTAAGGTTCATTTTGCCGTTGTCTGTGCTTTATCATGCATAGGATTTGATGCATTCCTACAGCTTCAGTTACGAGGAGTATTCATTGTAAGAACCTTTAAAAATACTGTAAATTAAAATCTAGCTCTTCACCCAAACCTTTTCAAGTTTCCAACTGCAACCATTATACCTCTTTCCGTTCTGAGGGAGGTGTATGCGCCTACTACAACACACGTACACCTATAGCTCGACTCACGGATCTTGAATCTTCCCTTTATGGTGTCATCTGGCTCAAAATATCTCTACCAACTATGACTATTTTTCTTTGTTTCCTATACTGTTCTCCCAACTCTACGAACTTTTGGAACTCTTTGACTATCTCACGTCTTGCCATGAGTCGTTGCTATCCACACACCCTAACACTGAGATCCTCTACCTAGGGGATTTCAATGTACATCACAGAGAGTGGCTTAGCTCTGCAAGGTATGATCCATGTGGAGCTGAGGCACTCTCTTTTTCCTTACTTAATGATTTGGAACAAATAATCAAACACCCTACACGCGTTCCTGATCAACACGATCAACTTGCTAGAATTATTGATCTTTGATTTTCCTCTAACCCCTCACACTATTCATACTCAATTTTTGTCCCCTTAGTCTCTTGTGATCACAAACTTATTACTATTAAATCAAACTGGGCACGACCACCCCCTCTAAACGTCAACTATGGCACTATTGGAGGGCAAGCTGGCAATTCTTGCGAGAATTCTTCACCGACTTTCCTTGGGATGAATGTTGCTTTTCCACTCGGGACCCCTCGGTATGTGCTGACAGCATTGCTGGGGTTATACTTTCACTTTACAGTACAATCATGGTTTTACCGCTCCTGCTCTCTTGCATGTAGGGAGAGAGATAGGGCTTATCAAGTTATCAAACATCTCCTTCTCCTGTTATCCACTCCTCTTTCATTACTTCTAGGAATCGTGGTAAGGCTATTCTTCGTAGGGCCAAGCGGATTTTTTTAAAAAGAAAGACCACTGTCCTAACGAATTCTTCCTCTAGTAGTCCTTCTGGTCCTTAACGAAAAACATCTGTAATAACTTCTGCAACCCTTCTTTTCCTCCTCTCTTCCGACCTGATATCTCTATAGCCAACTCTCCCCCAAACAAAGCCAATCCCTTTGGCACCTTATTCTCCTCTAATTCCACCTTAGACGATTCCAACCCTATCCCTCCTACTCCTCCTACTGAAACTATGCACTTTCCTATAATCTCAACTCGTAGGGTTGCTGGTGTGTTATCCAGGTTGGATGTGAGTAAGGCACATGGACCGGACGGAATACCCCTCGTGTTCTGAGGAAGTGTGATGAAGCTCTGGCCCCTGTACTTGCTCGCCTCTCTCACCGTTGCCTTAAAACCTAAACTTTTCCTTCTTCTTGGATGCATGCCTTGATTCATTCCATCTCGAAGAAGGGTGACCATTCCAATCCCTCTAACTATCGCCCCATTGCCCTAACTTCATCCCTCTCCAAGATTTTTGAAACTATCTTGAACTCCCATGTTCTCTGTCTGCTTGAATGCCTTTCTCTTTTGTCGGATTACCAGTATGGTTTTCGCCAGGCGAGATCTTCTGGTGATCTGCTCTCCTATTGCACCATCTTTGGTCATCCTCTCCTAGGGATTATGGGGAAACTTTCGTCGTGGCCCTCGACATCTCCAAAGTATTTGACAGGGTATGGCACAAGTCTTTGCTTTCTAAACTTCCTTCTTATGGTTTCTCCCCCCGACTTTATTCTCTATTCTCTAGCTTCCTTGAGAACCAATCCATGGGAGTTGTTGTCGAGGGATCGATCTCTCGCTTTTTCTCTACCAATAGTGGTGTCTCACAGGGTTCTGTTCTTTCACTTACTCTCTTCCTTCTTTTTATCAGTGATTTACTTCACACTATAACTAATTGTATCCATTCTTGCGCTGATGATTATACACTTCACTCTTCTTCACATTTTCCACTTCCCTCTAGATCTGTTTCTAGAGAGGATATCTTAAATCTATCAATGAGGATCTGTGCAGCATCTCCGAATGGGGAAGTAGAAACTTGGCTAAATTCAAAAGTAATAAAACCAATTACACTTTCCAAATTTGATGATCTCCCAGCAATCACATTTCAGGACGCTATCATTCTGCTAAATTCTAAAATAGATATGCTAGGCCTCACCATTTCTTCGAATTTGTCATGGAAGCCACACATCCACAACATTGCTAAAGCTGCCTCCCGAAAGTTAGGAATGCTGTACAGATGCCGTAGCTACTTCACTCCTGAGCAGTTGCTCTAAGTATATAATGGATTCATTCGTCCTAACTTGGAGTACTGCTCTCATATCTGGGGTGGCTCTTCTTCTGTCCAACTGTTAGATAGGGCGGAATCAAAGGCATTTCGTCTTATCAACTCTCCTCCTTTGGTCGACAATCTATCTTCCCTTTCTCTTCGCCGCAATGTTGCTTCACTCTCTCTCTTTTACAGGTACTTTAACGGGCAATTTTCGATGGATTTGGCATCCTATGTACCGCCGGCAAGGCCGAGGGCTCGCAACACACGTCTTGCCCGCGGTGCCCACCGTTTCTCTGTGGA